TGCACTGGGAAACTAGACAGTGTTGATACATGTAGCAGAATTTGTCCAGGTAGAAATTACAACCTAGTGAAGTTTAAATATGATTTATTAACCCCAACAGCCCCAACTGCTACAGCTACAGCTGTTAATCAGACCAGTGTGTAAACATTTTGAAATTACTTCTGTAGGTACTTTGATCTTGAATTTGATCTAAAACATGGGGGAAGAGCCATAAAATATAGACATTATAAAGTCTCAAAAAAAAGGAGAGATTTTAAATTGAATTGTTTGGCTGCTGGCCATGTTTCCATTCTCCCAGCTGAATGAGTGCACTGGTGTGGAAGGATACCTTATATAGATGAGAAAATTTAAATCTGTGTATAGCAGTCTTAAAAAGAGGTTCATATAGTTAATCAGAACACTGCTAAATCACGAGCCTGAGATACAGACCCCAAGCAAGTGAAATATACTGTTTCAAGTGAAGTTTCAGTTCAGTTTCCATTCAAAGCTTATGGAGTAAAATCACTTTTCCTTCCTGTCACTTGAACTGTCTTGTGTCAGTATTGAGATTTCTTCTAAGGATTTTTACTAGTTTATATGATTATTTTTTTTTCTTTTTTGCCTCCTCTCTGAGGCAGTGCAAAGCTTTGCTGTCCAGCCTCCCAGATGTTTTCATTTATTCTTACCATTGCCTCATGCACTTTTTACCATCCTCTTGCATAGTCATTCTCTTTTTTTCCTTACTGTTTTCAAGTCATCTTTTCTGTGTCCTGTAAGCACACAGTGTCATCATACCTTCATTATTTGACTCAGCCTTAAGATACTCTTCTGCAAAACTTAAATCATAGTTCACAAAATATTCCATATCAAGAAATCCGTGGTGAAACAACATTTATCTTCCTCTTTTAGGTCCTGATACAGAAAAAGGCCTTAATCCTTTATTTAATATTAAGCCAGAGAAACTACATTTGTGCTTCTCCATACTGGGGTTGTAGTTGAACCCACAGTAGCTCCGTACTTGATTTTACAACTGTCCCCCTTGTACCTGCTTTCAGTTTTAATTTTCAGGTGGGCAAATTCACATAATACACTCAGTTTTCTATGATCCATAGTGCTATTCTTGTTTGTTCAGTAGTTTGTGTATAGTTTGTGGCACTATAAAAATAATGTTCTGCAAAGAGTATTGAAAAATATATTTATTGCAGAATGAAGGAATTAGTATTTATAGCAATCAAGCATTTTTGGCAACGGACTGTACTTTGTGCTTCAAAGCTGAAATTCAGATGGTGGAAATCCCACTGGAGTAGCTTTGTTTATAGCTAGTAAGCATTGCAGTTAGCATCACTGGATCTGTTAACTGAATTGTTTATAGTTTCCCAATTTATGAAAGGTGTTTCTTCTCCCTTTCAGTTCTCATCTGCAGTGTTTTGCCCTTTAATATCAATACTACTACATGATATCTCACTGCTACATGTGAAAGGAGCTTTTTCCATATTACCAGAAGAGAATGCAGCACACGAAGTTAATATGTATGACAGGAAGATTTCAGAGTTGGTTTATAAGCTAGTTTGCATTCTTGTTGGAGAACCTGAGCAGTCTACCGAATATTTGTGTTGTGTTTATTTGCCTGATTTCACCGTCATTTCTTCCCACTTTTACTCATAGGTTTGTCACCTACTCCAGAGAGAATCAGAACAATGTCATACGTTTTTGTAAACGACTCTTCCCAGACAAATGTGCCGCTGCTGCAGGCTTGCATTGATGGAGATTTTAATTATTCCAAACGACTGTTAGAGAGTGGTTTCGACCCAAATATTCGTGACAGCCGAGGCCGAACTGGCCTTCACCTTGCTGCAGCCAGAGGAAATGTAGACATTTGTCAACTCCTGCATAAATTTGGTGCTGACCTACTAGCCACTGATTACCAAGGTAACACAGCCCTTCACCTGTGTGGGCATGTGGACACCATCCAGTTCCTAGTTTCTAATGGACTTAAAATTGATATTTGGTGAGTCACCTTTTTTTTAAAAAAAAAAAAAATAAAATCTAATATACTAGTCTTCTGTTGCCGGAGCCTTGCATACAAATCTGCTGTTGCTGAAATGGTGTATTTGGTGCAATTCAACTTTTTTAAGGTATTACTTAATAAAAACATAAAGTAAGAAAGCAAGAAAACAATCAGGGGCCACTTCTGCTAGTCTGTGCAAAAGGCAAAGCAAACAAAAATAGCAGCTGCTGGTGTAGGCTGCTGTGTCTAATTCTGCCTCACTGATGACATTGCTATCCTGGTTTGGCCGGACGGCCAGGTGTGGGTGGTTGGCACCAAAGAAAAAATCACATTGACTGCTTGAAAAGAATTTTCTCTGCCACAGTTCTATTGTTTTAATTGTGGTACTGTATAAGACAAAGAAAATACAGTATATGTGTGTGTCAGTTCATTCCCATACTCCTTTGGTAACAATACTCCCTTTCAGTGTTTTCCCCCTCTCTCAAAGTCCGTGACTCAATCCTTCTTTTAAATATTGTATATTCTTTCCTGCTGGCTTGCAGCAGCTGTCAGATGCCGGTGCTCAGATGTGAGCTCTCAAGCTGCAAAATGACTAGCTGTTTCATGGCAGTAACTGAATTATTTTGTTTGTGGAACTTTCTGCCTATTCACAAGACGTGCAAAAACCAGTAGTAACTTCAGAACCTTTGAGTTTTTTAATCTGTTCCTTTTTCACCTGTCCCTCATTAATGTTTTCAACTCAGCAAAACTAGTTATTGGCAGACCAGATTCCATATGGGTTGTGGATTGACATTTTTTTCCCCTCATTTCAAACAATTCTGGTGAAAATCCCTAGTCTGAAGGCAGCTCTGGTCCTATTCAGTATTATTTTAATAGTAGCAGAGGGACCATCTGTATTTTATTTCATTTTTGCCTGATGTCCTAATACCCACATGGAAAAAGGAACTGTGAGGAACCAGATTGCAAATTCTTTCTTGAAATTAAGCTTAATCTTGAACATTGCCATAAATCTACTGTTTATTTTTTGTTATAACACCCAGAGATTCCAATTAGATCAGAGTTCTAGGAATTTTTATTTTATTTAGAGGAAAAAATGAGTTGTGCAATTTCAAACCTAAATATACTGATTTTCTTCTATAGTCACTTATGCTATAACTTCTATGGGCAGGAATTTCTTACTGTCTGATATGACAGAAAGTAGTTCTGAGGACTTAACTAGATTGTAATGTGTTATGTTGAGTTGTCTTGATTTCTATATTAAAAGTTTCTTTTCTTCTCATGTCCTTTTGTGGCGTTATTTTAGCAATCACCAAGGTGCAACACCACTTGTTCTTGCAAAACGAAGGGGTGTGAATAAAGATGTGATTAGACTGCTGGAGTCTTTAGAGGAGCAAGAAGTGAAAGGATTTAACAGAGGAGCTCACTCAAAGCTGGAAACGATGCAAACTGCTGAAAGTGAAAGGTATTTACAAACCAAAAGTAATTACGAGGGGAAATAATGTTTTATGGCTTTTAGATTCTTGTGATTGACTTGATTGTTTCTTCCTCAACAAAAATTGTGGAAATAAATGCTCCACCACTTACCACGAAGCCAAAGGGAAAAATGGGGTGAAATGCAAAATGCCAGTATCGCAGGCTAGCCTGACATCCTTTCGGTAAGGTGGATTGTCCGTGCCAAGAAGGGATAGCAGACTTCTCATCTATCTGAACTTGAATAAAGGATTTGATACTCTGCCGTATATGAAATTTCTGTCAGTAGTTGTCTTGGAAAAGATGGAGAATAAAATAAGACTTTCATGGTGGCTAAAAAGACAGTTAAAGGAGAACTGAAGATTTCAGGAAAACTGCCGACAATTTCAGGGAAAGTATTGGATTAGAGGGAAGTTCCTAATGAATTCCTAAAGGTCTGGTTCTGGGACTGTGCTTACTTACGGTTTTCATAAATTATACTGGCATAGAAAGTAGTAACGTGTTAGTGATACAAAAAAGTGAGATACCCAGAGGAAAATGGGGATGGCATAGACAAAAGTCAGGGATGGCATAGACAAAAGTCTGGGATGACAAGGGGGAGAAAATCATTAGGAATAAATTGTGATTCAGTAGCACAAAATGCAGCTTCGTTTACCTAAAGCTGTGTGCCATAAAGTAGAAGTTCCTCAGTGGAAAAAGAGGGTATAGGAGAAAAGGCTTGATGTATTAGTCAGTTCCAGGAGTTGATACCCTGAAAAAGGCAATGAAGTCCTAGAACACACAAAACAAGATATTCCCGCTACAGAAAGAAAACTGTCAGTGCTGTTTTAAAAGGCAATGGTAACTTCTGCCGTGCAGTACGTTTTGTAATGCTGCTTAGCCCCATTCAAAAAAGTTTAATTTATCCTTTTAGAAGCGTGGAGAAGCATTACTTCAGCGCTCAAGGGAACAGAGCGTCTCCTTGCAAAAGGAGGCAACTAGAGCTCTTTTTAGCCTGGCAGAGTGAAGGCTGAGAAGTGTGTGGTTGCTGACAAGAAATACTGGATTTGAACAATGTAACTGTTTAAGTCAAAAGACACAAGAGCCACAGGATACAGATAAACCACAAATACTTTTTTTTTTAATTGAAAATTTGGAGATTTGGGTTTGTTTTTTTTTTTACAATAAGCTTCCAAGACAGGCACCTTGTAGGATTTAGATGAAAGTAAGAAGCCTTGCAAGTTTCAAAAGAGGCTGATTGTCTCCCAGAAATTGTTGAATTGCCAGTAAACATGACAGGACATGGGACTGAGGTTAATAATGCGAGAGATCCTTCCAGTACTGTTTTGTTTTGTTTTAATTTATATTGGAAACAGGATATCAATGTTTAGAATACTTGCTCTTACAGTGAATTTATTCAAATTTGTAATTTTTTATATTGTCTAATAATGATCATGAACTGTGGCTGCTGGAACATTATATCACAAAAGATAGGGAGTTTTGTCAATAATTGTTCAGTTTGTGTCAAAATGTACACAGCCTGTACTGTAAATGAAAATTAAACTGTGTAGATGGAGTTGTTACCTAAGTTGAGTAAACAGAAAAGGTGAAACCAACAAAATTACGGAAATCATGGCAAATACTCCCAATGAGCAGATTGGAAGTTCTTTGTTATACATCAGGTGACCCCAGTAATCAGCAAGACTGTTTTAAGCCCTGAAATAGAAAATTTAATATTATTCTCAAAATTACATGGGTATAAATTATAAGAATTTGTGTATATTACCTTCTGACTTAACTAAATTTTATTGAAAGTTGCTTGTCACACGGAAATGCATTTATGCTGTTTTCGTTTAAACATACAGACCAACAGCTCAGCCCCATTTGGATTCTGACTTTTGATTTGATGGTGTCCCTTTAAAGAACATAGCTTCCTTTCTGTTACTCAACCTTCATAAATGTTATATTGTTTGCTTTGGCAAGGAAGTCAGCAACTCTCCTTGGAGAGAGGCACAGAGACATAAACAGTGCACTACCCAGCTTGTTTGTGAACGTGTTTAAAATGCCTGAAATACAGTATTTTTAAAATAACAAATAACAGATGCCTACAGCAGCAAAAGCAAGTGAGCTTGTGTGCTGTTTGCTTTGTAAATAAATAATGTCTTTGTAACAGTTGGCTTTTCAGACCTCCACAGTTTTACTCCTCCCTCTTAGTATTATTTTCACATTTTAGAGACACTTAGATGAATGTCTTCTGCCCTCTACCCCGTCGGCTCTCTTGCATTATGTATGAACCTATGGAGAAATAACGGTTGCTCTTTCTAAAAACAGTCTCTGCCTTAAATTTTCTGCTCCTTATTACATACAGTTGCTGGTGCTCTGGAAGCAAAGGCCAAAGCTAGGTTCCCGAGTCAAATTTATTTTCTCTTGCGTCTCATTCCTCCCAGTGAGGAGCGGCACTCTGCTGCCAGGAGGCAGACCTCGCTCTGTCTGTCTTTCAGCACAGGCGGTCTGTCCGTCTGCACAGCCCAGCGTGACCTGTGACTGCACCCATGAGTGCAGCCACATGTGAACTTCCACGCTGTGCTGGAAACGGAACATCTGTCTGGGCTGTGTGGCACAAACTCTTCTGTAGGATGCATTGCTGTGTTACCATTTCTTAAGCAGCTGTAATTTGTAATAAGAAAAAATATCTTGAATAACATTGATTTTAATTGGGTTGTAATACAAAATAACAAAAGTGTTTTCTATGTACCCTTTTCTATTTAATGAGCAAGCATGTGATCTTTTCACTTAAATTGCATTGCACCTTTATTTAACCTCTCTGTGGTTATGTATTAACTAGTTAGTACTTAGTGAGTAGTTCTGTTCTACACCAATGGCTGTCTTTTAATAAACCCTTTGTTTTGCTTGGGAAATCATAATAAGCAAGGAAGATGACTAAATCGTGCAGCTATGGGCAAGCAAAATTAGCTCTACAGCAAGGTAAATATTTAAAAAACAAAAACCCCCAAGCTGTTTAATAGGCAATTTCTGAAATCTTCTGCATGCGGTGCCACGATACTTCAGCAAGCTGTGGGAGTTTAAGTCAATTATTTTTCAGTGGCTGTACTTCCTAAGAAAAAGTACCCTTTGAATAGTGTAGTTTTTCTGCGGTGTAATGTTAGAAGAGAGATTCATGAATCAGGGTTTTCCTGATAACAATCATTTGTTAATTTATTATTGTCACCAAGAACAATATAGGATTTCTACAATTAGTTTTGACTTGGAAATTACTTTTCCCATATTTTTCTTTTTATTGATAAATTTTTTTGGTTTTATCGATAAAATAAAATTGATTCCCTTCTTTTTCGTGGATTATTGATACAAGACATATCTAGGATATGGTAACTGAAAGCAAGTAGGAGGAGGGAAAAAAAGTTGGTTTTTCTCTGCTTACCTTCTGCTGTTGACATCATTGTGTCCATAGTTGGTTTCACCATTTCCTTTCTGTGCTTGTCAGAGCTTGGTCCTGTAAACACCTGTGTACGTAGTTTCGCTCAAGTGAGAAGTATTAGGACTGTGCAGATGGCTAAAATTTTACATAAGTGACATGAAGTGATCTGAAAGTGTTGCTATTCTTTATAAGATTTTTCACACAGCAACAGAGAAAGTTTCCTGTTATAAACCAATTGTGAAATGAGCAAAGTTGGGAGAATGATGCAAGAAGCCATGCGATATTTGAAACGACTTACATTTTTTCTAAAGGCGATTCATTGTCAAGATGACTGCATCATTCTAATTTTATATTTGTTTCTCATTTAAAAGTGAGTTTCAGTCCCTAATTTATAGCCTGACAATTTAAGGGGGCCTAATGGATTGGGTAGTGGAATGTTAAAACATCAAAGCAGCTGCTGAACGCCATATGGCAGAAAACACAGCAATGCCAACTTGTCTTGAAGATCAAAAAGTTTCTGAACTTCTTGTTGTTCAAATTTTTTGTTTTCTTTGATATTTTTATGCTAGAGAAGAGGCCTCTAACAAAGACATGCAGGAGAGTAGTAAAGATCGCTAGAGCTCAGAATCTAAATTACGTTGGTTAAAGTTTCCATTTTATTCGTCAGTTTATTTTTAAGTCATAATTTGTTGTTTTGTTAACAAGAGCTGTGCCCCTTGAGGTTCTAGCTTATGCTTCATTAATTTTACTAAGCCATATTTAGTAGGAATTACAGGGACTGACTTTTGAAGGCTTGTAGGTGGCAAGACTGCAAACTCAGTGTGATTGTACAAAGACAAATGTCATTCTCTTTACACAGGTTAATAAAACATCCTTTCAGCTAACTTAAGTTTAGAGTTAGGAGTCTTTTCCTGATTTGTGTTGTTTTGATTTAGTGGAGGCAATGCTATAAATCTGCAGGTGGGTTTAGTTTTTAATTTAGAATGTTTTGGTTGCTCTTAATAGGATTACTGTTGTATTTAAAGGTGCATTCTTTTGCTCTGATTTATTTTTAACTTTAATCCTTCGTAGTGCGATGGAAAGCCATTCCCTCCTTAATCCAAACCTACAGCAAGGTGAAGGAGTTCTTTCCAGTTTCCGCACGACATGGCAAGAGTTTGTGGAAGACCTGGGCTTCTGGAGGGTGCTGCTCCTCATCATTGTCATTGCTCTGCTGTCGCTTGGAATAGCATACTATGTTAGTGGGGTGCTTCCTTTTGTAGAAAACCAGCCTGAACTGGTGCACTGAGGCAAATGCAAAGTGCACTGTCCTTTTCCCTGTTTTGATCTTGGTTTGAGCTTCTTGGAACTATTCTCTTGGTGCAGGCAGTGGCACCTGTATATACTGTTTGGCTTATTATTAACCCCTTTGAAAGGCGGATTAATTCCTTTCAAGTAAAACACTAAATTCTAAAGCATTCCTAAGCTACCTCTTACTTGACTTGCAAGCAAGATGTGAAGATAATCCTCTCTGTTGATGAAATACTATGATTAGAAAAGGCCTTTCATGATGAATATTAAATTCATAATTTAATTAACAATTAAAATATACCCTAGTACAGAACCAAATTTGATTTCCCTATGAAGAGAGGTAAATCTGTTGTTGGATTTTTTTTGTGCGTGCTTCGATTGAAAAAAAAAATTCTTTTAAAAGTCCTTCTCAACAAATCTGAATAATAACACATTCTGCTATATAGACAGTAATAAGGTGCAGCTTCACAGTTCTTGTAATGACTCCCCATAGTTTCATATCTGCCAGTTTATAAAAAGAATGAGAAATAGTTAAGTTTTACTATGTCTGTAATGTATAATCAGTCCTTTATTTATTAGGTTAATGTAGTGTTTCTTCTCCAGATGAATTTAATGTTGTTAATACCTGCCTGAAGTAAATTATGTGGAACAAAGCTGTTCATTGTGCTTTGTGGAAGTAAAGTTGTTTCAGCCTTAGACTGAAAATTTTCCCTTTTTGTTGAAGTGCTACTAAGCAAACCTTTCTTTGTAAGGATGATTAAAAAGTGATTTAGGTGTTCTGCTCTGTATATAATAATTCTGTAAGGCCATTGTCTTTGTGAAACATATTGTGAAGGATAAGTTTTTCTTTCTCCCACAAGGACCAGACTGAACCATAAAATTCTATTGTTTTCATGTTTGTGGAGAGGACTTGATTGAATAGAATTCCTTTCTAGAATTGTTTTCCATTTCAGTTGTTTTCAGACAGCACTTAGAGACTAATGAATTTTTTTCTGACTGTGCAGAATAAAAGTATTTAAAACGTTAATATTTAGGAACATCGTATGAAATGAAAGTTTGACCTGTTCTGTACTTAGCGTCCTTTGTTTGTAAATAACCTAGGGTTATGAATCAGTTAGATAGTCTTTTATGAAGGCTAGAAAGGTACTACCTAGTAAGTTGGAGGTTTTCAAAGAAAGCAGAAAGCAGATTCTCTCCTCCCATGCTGATTAGACTCTGACCATTGCATTGAAAATCCCAAATAAAATGAATTCTGCAAATCTACTGAATTGATTTTTTTTTTTACGTGGCCACTCCTAAATTGTTGCTAAATAACATCAAACATTATCAAATTATAAATTACAATAAGTATTGATGAAAGTAACCTACATCTCTCTGTTCCGCTACCATGTGTATTTTTCTTTCTTGTTTATGGGTTTGAGTGAAGAGGGTTCTTGTCTTTGTTTTAATGTGTGACATGGGCTTCACTGAGCTGGGCCCCATTCTAAATTGTGTCTGAATGATTCTGGATCTCATTTCTTAAGTTAGAGGTTAATGAAATGATACTTTTCTGTCAGCTGCAGTGCTGCAGAAAGGAAAGCCTCTTTAAAAAACAAACAAACAAACAAACAAAAAACCACAAACCAAAAAAAACTAGAGCATACTCATCTTCTGAACATTTCAATTATCATACATCTGTTCATGGACGGAGAAATTTAAACTTATAGTATACCTAAATTACATTTACTTCTCTAAATAAGTACATTTCTGTTAATAATACTCTGTATCTTGAATAATCAAGTTGTCTTTCAGTATGTATTATCTGCATAATTTGTAATTGTATTCTCAGTATGGGTGAATGCTACAAATAAATATATGTAGTAAATATGTTTTGGTTTATTATTACATTAGTGCAGCGGTAATGATGCTGCCGCCTTTTACTGAGTTTGTTTGTTTGTCGTACATTGATAGTGAGCATTTCAGAAGTGGGGAGGTTCCCTCCCTGAGAAATGGTGACCACACTGTTTTAGAGCACGGTTTCTTTAGATTTGCCAGGGTTTTTTTCAGTGTGGTTACCGAAGCGAAGTTGCTGTCTGTCTGTGTCTCTCGTTCTCTCTCTCTTACCTAAGATCTCAGGTATTGAACATGTGATCTAGCGGCCCCTCAAGATTTAAGGTTACTGTATTATTTAACAAAATATAACCGAGAAAACCAAGCTTGAGCCTTACGTAGCCTTTCCTGCTTTGCTGTAGTTGCTAATGCTGTATGCCTAAGCAGTTTCAGAACTGCACGTTGAAAAGCTTTGAAAAATCGTGTGTGTGTTCCAAATTAACGTATGTCACTTTTTAAACCCGAAGAAACCCAAAGCACTGTTTGATGTAATGACTGCTACTCTTTGAAATAAGGACGTGATAAACATCTGACTAAAAGAGGAGTTAGTTCTGTATATAGCTCTGTTATTGAAAAAGGACAGCTGTGCCTTTCAATATATCTATAAACATTAACAACTTCCTTTTCAAAGGTAGATTCTAAAGATTGAATTTACCTCCTGTACACTAGATTTCAAGGAATACAATCTGTTTGTCTTACAGGAACAGAAAGAGGACTTTAGCCAACTTCCTCTTGAAGCTGTTGTCGTAGGGAGTTTCACTGTTTCCACATAATGACATGGATCAGTTTAGATTGTCTGTAGGTCAGTAAGATTTCTTTTATTTATTATTGCAGTGGTGTCTAGGTACCTTGGTCCAGGGACTCCATTTTGCTAGGTGCTCTTCAAATACAGGACAGATTGTCTCAGACTAATGTGGTAAAGTGGAATAAGAAATTGAGAGAGAAAATAATCATGGAGGGATGAAGTGATTTTTTCCAGTGTCATAAAATGACTTGGTGTACAAGATAGTGCAAGGTACACGGGCGTGTAAAATGGCTGCACACAGGCTACTCTGCAGTGGGCTGTCCTGTGCTCACATTTATTCCATGGCAAGATCACACCTACCTTACTTCATTGTAACTTGTCTCATTGTAACTTGTTCATGTACCATATCCTTTTATCTTTAAGGGCTTCTGTTTTCACTCATATTGGTAGTTTGCTCTGTAGCAGGGGAGGATCTGTTGTATGACTGTCATGGGTAGGTATTGTTTCTAATGGTCACAGTACAACGGGTATTTCATTACTGGATGTAATCTCGCACTGTGAGGTGTATCATCAGGAAAAGCTCCTGTGAGAGCTTATGGTTTCACTTTAAAGCATTGAAGCAGAAGATCTAGGCGGTTTCTGGGTCTGCAGCTGATCTGGAGTTTGATTTTAGCATAAGTCAACTAATTTCTCTGACCGTTTTTAATACCTTGAGTAAGTAAAAATAATCAGCTCACCAGTGTATTGTAGTTGGGCTAGTAAGCTACATAGCTCTTTTTCTAATCAAAATATGTTTTGCTGTAATACATTAGAGAAATGCAAATTAAGTAATTTTTCAGAAATTCAATAGCATCATTTAAAAGTAGTACTAGAAAGTACAAATTGCAAGTGAAAACTCTGCTGCAAACTCAAAAAAAAGGGTAATATTGTCTGGTATCGTATTCAGAATTTTCGGAAGTCTGGCATATATTTAAATGTTACCTGAAGTTGACTTTTAATGGAGCTGATGTCTTTCTCAGCTGATACACAAGTAAACTTGTTTCTGAAGCCAGTTGTTTCTGAACTTGATCCTGTTTCTGAAGCCAGGTCATTGTTAAATTCATATTTGTATTGGTGATTAAAATGAGTCTTAAAAGATGTGAGAATTAGGTCAGGATGCTTTTCCTTCGTTCAGTGTTCTTCTCTTACATTTAAACATTAATCCTTGTAGACTGGTTACTTGGGATACACTGTAGAATTTCCTCAGTGATCCAGAACATTACAGAAATTGTTGTACTTTTGTACAGTTGTTACTGCATTTCTCATTCCTGGTATTGGGGCTTTCTAGAAGACTTCTGTGCCATTGCCTAGTTTCATAACCTGCAGTTCTCTGTAAACTTTGTAAGTGCTGGAATACTGTTGAATCATGAATCTTGAATCTCTGTTAATATTATGAAATTAATTTCTGGTGACAGTAGAGATAATTCTGTACCTGTACTTGCAGGGTGGTCTCATGCACCTGTTATCTTCAACATATTTAAGTACTTCAGCTGAATTTTGTGTTTCCTGGCATCTTTTGTACTGCTCATACAAATGCTTCAAAGGAGGAACGCTTAAAATCTGTGCTGAAAACTAGAAGTCTTCAACTGACAGTGATCTATCTGGTGTACTCTGTGCTCTTACGCAAAGAACCAATGCTCTGATGTTGCAGCTGAAGCAGTCTGTGTGCAGAACCCTGAAGAATGTGTCTCTGCTGTAGGCATTTATAGTTTGTAAATCATTGTTGTAACTAAGCATTAAGCAACCAATATTTCCTAATGACTATGATGAGGCAAAACTATTGTCCTTCATTACTGCCAAGGGAACGGGAAATCTGCTGGAAATTACCATAACTAAAAAGGAACAAATCAGAGTTTCTTCTGAAGTCCCAAGTGTGAACAAGTCACAACCATGGCTTCAAGTGACATGTTCTTTCCAATTGTGATTTTAAACTACCTTCTGGGTAAGGAAAAATGAGGAGACATTCGGAACAGAATTTGTTGTGTGGTACATATGGTTTGCAGAAAATAGGAGGGGAATGAATGCAGTGAGCCAAGACAGCAGCAGGAAGGCAGAGCAGTGTGATACTTTCATGAATCACTGCTTAAAGGCCAATCCCAATGCTCATAAGTGCAAGGGGTGACCAGTAATAGCCTCCTAGTAGGAGAAGGATTTCACTGGCTTGTGATTACGCCATCTCACAGGGGTGGTCATGCAGCCCTGCAACCTGAGCTGGCCCTCCTTGACTTTCAACGTCTAGAGCGCTGCTATTTCAGACAACTGCATGTTTGAATGTGTGCCTACATTAACAGCTGCTCATGTGGAAGCCGAACTGGTTCCTCTCATACAAGAATCCTTCTGCACATAGGTTAGCAAAAGAAGTTTTATCAAATGTGAACAGAAGCTCTTTGTAAAACAGTAAATATTTCTGGTGTATTAAATTATGTTTATCTAAATATCAGAAGACAGGAATCCAGCTGAAGGATCAAGTATATGCAATAATATCTCATTTTCCTTTGACAAAGAAAAGAGAACAGATAACTTAATGCAAAGCAAGAAGAAAATCATAGTAAATGTGTTTTGAACTGTAGAATATGAATTCCTGACTGAGCCAAATTCCTTATTGTGAGGGATTTTTCAAGTAACGTAATCTCTAGCAGGTAAGTTTTCTATTAGAAAGGCTGACATAGCCTTGCAGTGGTGTGAAGGTAGTAATGTTTAGACATTGTGCTA